AAAAAAAAAAAGAAAAAAAAAAGAAAAAGAAAAAAGCTTACCTCAACAAGATCTCCTCCGCCAATCCTTGCAGCAGCAGTCCGTGAATAGTGGAAGTTCAATGTCAGTAATCCCCACGGACTGTCGCAAATATACTCCGACACATACGACACCTACGTCCAGAAAAGCAAGCTTCAAGTGCAAAATCGAGGGCCTTCCTCAATTATTTGAGGAAGGCTGGGCGTCAACTGAAAGGCCCAGCAGGCTCGGAAAGAAAAGAAAAAAAACGGTTCGGCGAAGTGCTCCGGAGGGTACTGGTGGTATAAGAGACGAGGAGGGCGCTGAGCACGTTCACACTTAACCACGGTGAGTGCAGGCCACTCGATCTTCCACCCACAGGGGATACCATCAGCCCGTTTGGGCTCAATCACGAAGAAGAAGCAGAAGCAACTGAAGAAGCAACTGAAGAAGCAACTGTAGAAGAACGCGAGGGAAAGCAGGAGGTGAAGAACGACGAGAAGAGGAAAAGGGAGAAGCGAGAAGCGAGAGGTGACGAAGTAGACCACGCAAGCAATGGAGCGTCAACAATTTGGCTCGCCGTCTGCTGCGGCAAGAGTTCTGATGATGGGCTTTATGGTGGCGTGCATCATCTCCAGCGTGGCATGCATGCCCCCGGGGCAGGGTAGATCTCTGGGGGGGGAGCCGTCTGCTGAGTCGCTGTTACGAGCAGCAATGACCGACGCAACGACAAGCCGATACGAGTTGACGGCGAGCGTGAAGCTGACAAGCTCTCTTCCAGCGCTGAACAAAGACTTCACTTTGGTGGGTAACTGCGGAGGCAGGGGCTGTGCGATCGACGGGCAAGGGACGTTCCGCGGATTCGTCACGAGTTCCTCTCTCTCGCTGTCGAACTTGGAGTTGGTGGGGATGACGACGGTGGGAACGAACTTGAACTCTGACGGCTATGACACGAGCGGCGGAGCCGTCTACGTGAGCGGCGGGCCGCTGACGGTGTCCAAATGCGTGTTTCGCGGAAACAGGGCGCAGACGGCAGGCGGCGGCGCCATCGCCATGTTAGACTCGCAGTTCACCATCACCGACAGCACGTTCACAGACAACAGCGCCGATGGTTCGGGAGGCGCGCTCATTGTGTGGAGCAACAGCTTCGGAGAGCTGAAGAACACCGGGCTGTCTGGCAACAAGGCGGGGCTTTTCGGCGGGGCGGCGTACTTCAGAGAATCCAGTGTGAAGGCGCTGTCCTGTGCCTTCGCGGCCAATAAGGCGGGAGAGAACGGAGGAGCGCTGTTGCTGAGCGAGTCCGACGCCACCATAGCCAAGACCTCCTTCACCGCCAATTCCGCTCCCAAAGGACTCGGAGGGGCCCTTCGCGTTCTCCTTGAGGATCGTGAGGTTGTGATCTGCAGCTCCACGACCTTCGCAGGCAATTCAGCCCAGGACAACACCACCAATGACGCCTCCGTTGAAGGGGGCGATCTCACCCAGTGCCCCAAGCCTCCCGCCGCAGGCCCCTCCGCCTGC